CATTTCCTGCACACGCCTGTGCACGGTGGCTCTGGATGTTTCTACTCCAGACTCAGTCCACTGCTTCCGCAGGTCCCCCAAGGTCTGGAATCGGCCCTTCTCCACAATCCTCCTCAGGGTCCGGTCACCTCTTCTCGTTGTGCAGCGTTTTCTGCCACACTTTTCCCTTCCCACAGACTTCCCACTGAGGTGCCTTGATACAGCACTCTGGGAACAGACTATTCTTTCAGCAATTTCTTTCTGTGTCTTACCCTCTTGCTTGAGGGTGTCAATGATGGCCTTCTGGACAGCAGTCAGGTCGGCAGTCTTACCCATGATTGCGGTTTTGAGTAATGAACAAGGCTGGGAGTTTTTAAAAGCCTCAGGAATCTTTTGCAGGTGTTTAGAGTTACGTCGTTGATTCAGATGGTTAGGTTAATAGCTGGTTTAGAGAACCTTTTCATGATATGCTCATTTTTTGGGACAGGCATTTTGGGTTTTCATGAGCTGTATGCCATAATCATCAGTATTAAAACAATTAAAGACCTGAAATATTTCAGTTGGTGTGCAATGAATCTGAAATATATGAAAATTTCATTTTTATCATTACATTATGGAAAACAATGACCTTTATCACAATATGCTCATTTTTTGAGAAGGACCTGTATATATATATCTGGGTTCCTCCTTTTCACCCAGACCAGTGGTCATTCCATATGTTGAGGGAGTATCAGAGAAACTGAGACGTTTATTTTCTAAACATAACGTCCCAGTGGCTTTTAAACCCCAAAATACATTAAAGACTGGTTCATCCCAAAGATCCAGTCCCCCGGCACAAACAGAGTAATGTTGTGTATGCTGTTCAGTGTCAGGAGGGTGATCAGTCTTACATCGGGGAAACTAAACAGCCACTGGCCAAAAGGATGGACCAGCACAGAAGATCAACATCATCAGGCCAGGACTCTGCGGTCTACACTCATCTCCAGGTCAGAGGTCACTCTTTCAGGGATGAAGATGTTCACATCCTGGACAGAGAGGAACGATGGTTTGAGAGAGGAGTAAAGGAGGCCATCTTTGTGAAAAGAAACCGTCCATCGTTAAACAGGGGTGGAGCCTCCAGGTTCAACTGTCCCCCTCTTACAATGCTGTGATTGCTAGTATCACTCAGCCCTCTGTGAACAGTAAACAGCCATCAGGTGCTAATGATCCATTGTTAGGCTGATGGTCCTTCTTGAGCATGTGATCAGCTGGTTTTGGTTGTCAGCAGCAAACTGGTTGATCCACTCTGAGAAGGTGCTATTTAAGAGACTGAGCTGAATACAGCACCTCAGACTGAGGAAGTCCTTTGGTTGAAACGTTTCTACTTTTTTGTTTTTTTTAATGTCCAGAGGACCAGACTTAACTTTTTTAGATTTTTCTACCTGGATTATTGAGCATGCATCAGGATATTTTTATGGAGAAACCTTATAGTGATAAGTATGCTCACACAGAGGTTTATCAGATACACACTCAATTGGGTTGTGGTGGCCACTAAATATATCTTGTATTACCATGTACTGTATAAAATACTTTCTAATGATGTTATAAGTATCATTATATATATGTCACCTTTTTCTTCTGAGGAGACTCAGGTCCTTTAACGTCTGCAGGAACATGCTGCAGATGTTTTACCACTCGGTGGTGTCCAGCGTCTTCTTGTGTGCAGGGTGAAGAAAGCTGATGCCGACAGAGTTGATAAACTCATGAAGAGCTGGTTCAGTTCTGGGAGTGGACCTGCAGTCTCTGACAGAGGTGTCTGAGCAGAGGATGCTGAGGAACCTGCTCCAGATCCTGAACATCACCCCCCCACCCCCCTACATGACACCCTGGACTCTTCCTGCAGCACCTTCAGTCACACTGAGACCATGAGGTGCTCCACAGAACAAGACAGGAAGTCCTTCAAACTTTTTAATTCCTCCACTTTCTACACAATAAAATTAATCCTGCACCAAAATAAACTCTTTCATGTTTCTGTCTGCACCTGTTTTAGATCTTAATGTTGATATTTTTATATTCTGTTTTTTATCTTGTGTGATTCCTTGTGCTTGTTCCTGTGTACTGAAACTCTGGCACAATAATTTCCTGTGGGATCAATAAAGTTCTTATTTGATCTTCTGTCTTTGTCCCTTGCTCAGCTGTCTTCAAACAGTTTGAACCCATTTCACTCTCATTTCTGAACAAAGTCGTTGATCAGATGAAATCCTCCGGTTCCCCCGCTGACCCCATTCCTGCGTCGTTTTTCAAACAAGTTCTACCCACGATTGGACCCTCTGTTCTTACCATTATAAATAGTAGTATTGTGACAAGTGTGGTTCCCGATGTTTTCAAACGTGCAGTAGTTCATCCGTTAACTAAGAAACCTGGACTTGACCCTTCGACTTGCTCAAATTTCAGACCAATCTCAAAACTTCCCTTCCTGTCCAAAATCCTGGAGAAAATAGTTTTCATTCAATTAAACAAGTTTTTGAATGACAACAGAATCTTCAAAATTGTTCAATCTGGTTTTAAGCAACTCCACAGCACTGAAACAGCATTAGTGAGGGTTTGTAACGACATTATGATCTCAAACGATTCTGGTCAATTTGTGGTACTTGTGCTCCTGGACCTTACTGCTGCTTCTGATCCTGTTGACCACAGTATCCTTATATCACGGCCGGAACAGTGGGTTGGGATCACAGGTGCTGCATTAGAATGGTTCCGCTCATACCTGAGTGGCAGGAGTTTCTGTGTCAAGGTTGGTAACAATGTATCCGCCTCATTACCTCTTTCATGTGGGGTCCCACAGGGTTCGATTCTTGGACCCCTTCTGTTCTCACTTTATTTGCTCCCACTGGGGTCCATCCTGAGGAAACATGGTTTCATTCCATTGCTATGCTGATGACTGCCAGATCTACCTGCCTGTGAAACCAGCAAGTGTTTGCTCCATTCACCCTCTGTTAAAATGTCTGGACGACATTAAGGCCTGGATGGCTTCAAATTTCTTAAGTTTTAACAATGACAAAACTGAAGTCATTGTCTTTAGCCCTAGCTCAACTGCCACCACTGATCTTGTCCACCTGGACTCTCTTCAGCCATATCTGAAGCAGTCTGGTAAAAATCTCAGGATGGTTTTAGACGCTGACTTCAAGTTTGACAAACAAATCAACTCTGTTCTGCAGAAAAGCTTCTTCCAACTCAGACAGGTAGCTAAACTCAAGCCAGTGTTGTCCAGACCCGACCTTGAGAAACTAGTCCACGCCTTTGTCACGACCCGATTGGACTATTGCAACGCACTGTATGCTGGGATCATCCAGGCCTCCACCTCACGTCTTCAGCTCGTCCAGAATGCTGCTGCTCGGCTTTTAACCGGAACTCATAGGTCTGAACATATTACTCCAGTTCTGTCCTCCCTTCACTGGCTCCCTGTTCGTACAAGGATAGTCTTTAAAATTCTTCTGTTGACCTTCAAATGCTTAAATGGCCTCGCACCCCTTCACCTCTCTGAGCTTCTGGAACCTTACGTTCCCTCTCGGGCCCTGAGATCATCTGATCAGCTGCT